TATTCCTAGGTATTTTTTTTTTTTGATGCAACTATAATGGAGTTGTTTTCCTGATTTTGCTTTCTGCTAATCTAAACTAACAGATTGTATAGAAATGCAACAAATTTCTGTTTATTAATTTTGTATCCTCCAACTTTGCTGAATTCAGTTATTAGTTCTAACAGTTTTTTGGTGGAGTCTGTAGGGTTTTCTGTGTAAAATACCATGTCATCTGCACTGACTGCTTAACTTCCTCCTTACTAATTTGGATACCTTTTATTTCTTTGTGTTGTCTGATTCCATGGCTAGGAACTCCAGTACTATGTTCAGTAAAAGTGGAGAGTGGGTATCCTTGTCTTTTCCCAATCTTAGCAAAAAAGCTTTCAGCTTTTCGCTGTAAGTATGATGCTGGCTGTGGGTTTGTTGTATATGGCCTTTATTATGTTGAGGTACTTAACTCTATACCCATTTTGTTGAGAGTTTTTATCATGAATGGCTTTTGAATTTTGTCAAATGCTTTTTCAGCATCTATTGAGATGATTGTGTGATTTTTGTGTTTTTTGTTGATGTGGTGTATGATGTTGATTGATTTTCAAATATTGTACCATCCTCTCATCCTGGAATAAATTCCACTTGTGATGGATGATCTTTTTGATGTTTTTTTGAATTCGGTTTGCTGATATTTTGTTGAGGATTTTTGCATCTATGTTCATTAGGGATATTGGTCCATAATTTTCTTTTTTGTGGTGTCCTTGTCTGATTTTGGTGTTAGAGTGATGCTGGCCTCATAGAATGGGTTTAGAAGTGTTCCTTCCTACTTTTTGGAATACTTAAGGAGGATGGGTATTAGCTCTTCTTTAAATGTTTGATAAAATTCAGCTGTTAATCCATCTGGTCCAGGGATTTGTTCTTAGGTAGTTTTTGATTGCCAATTCAATTTCATTCATCCTTGATTGTTTAATACTTCACATCTGCTCCATCTACAAATCCCAGCAGTATTATCTTCAGAATATGCCCAGAATCTGATGTCTGCTCACTACCTCCATCTTCTTACACCTGGACCATTGCAAAGGCCCCCCCCCCCAACTGATCTCCTATTCTGTACTTGCCTCCACATGGTTTTATACACTCAGCACAGTCCGAGAGATCTCTTTAAAAGCCAGTATCATTCTTATCTTAAAACCCACCAGTGGCTCCCCATCTCACTCAAAAGCCAGAATTCTTACCATGCTCTACAAGGTCCTGTGTAAACTGCCCTTACCCACATTACCTCTGGTTTTATATCCAATGTTTTCTTTTCTCTTGCTCATTATCCTTCCTTTTTCTCCACTATCCTTTTTGTCTGGAATTTTCCTCCCCTTATTACCTACTTGGTACCTATTTCTTTAGTTCCTTGCTCAAATCTCACCTCATCAGAAAGGTCTTTCCCATGACAGCTCAGCACTCCCCCACTCTCTCTCCCTTACCCTATTTTTCTTACACCATTTGCCATATAATGCGTTATACATTTTTGTTGAGTGGCTGTCTCCCACTAGAATGTTAGCTCTGTGTGATGTATCAGATAAATACTTGCTGAATGAAAAGATACTGTCTTGCCAATGGGTTTCAGCCCCGGACAAGTTCACTATGGATTCAGTGTGACCAAAGAAATGACAGAAGAACATCCTTGGGGAGAAAGGGTTATACCCATGTTTATTTCCACAGTGGCAGGTCAATCACTAGATTCCCATCCACTCATAGCGAGTCTGCATGCAGCAAGCTGGTCTCTGCCTCTAGGCCTCTACCCCTGCAGCCGTCTCAGTCTCTGTCCTCGGTGCTGCCACCACTCCAGTCTCATCTCTGCTCTCCTGCAGCCTTGAAGTCATGCCACCATGTCTCCCAGAACACTGGGTGGAGCTCTTTATATAGAGTCAATAACATTGTATTGCCCACACATGTGTAGTGAGCTAGCCACCCAGGGCCAGGTAAAAATACTGGCCACAGGAACCTTCACTTTATCCTACATTTGCCTACAAAAATAAGTACAAAGTAAAGTATTGTAATTTTCAAAAGCAAAAGGCATATGATTCCTTTCTGCCTGCTTTCTAAAGAATGATAGAATTATAAATCCAGTCCTGGTGTCACACAAAAAAGGAAAAGCTGGGTGATTCCTAATATGGATAAAATATTGTACTAGATGATGACATTTGAAATTTTATTTAAATTTGCGTATGTATAGTGAATCTTAAACAGATTACTTAAAATTTCTAATGGGAGATCTCAAGCTTCTAAATGAGCAAAAGATTCATATTGCAACCAGTAGATTAATTCATATCAACTAATAGAAGGAGAGAACTTTCAGCCCTCAGGCTATATGTGAGCATGATTTAATGTGATCCTGTGAGTGGGTGGATGAAGAAAAAGTGAAGTCCTTAAGCCTCTGATTGTAAAAAGGACTTTAAAAGGTTTTGCTGAAATTTTTAACTACCTCATTGATTTCTCTTTTTTTTTTTCCTTTATCCTTACCTTCCTTTCAAACTTGGCATAGTGTCATGATTAAAAGCATGGGTTTTGATGTTAACAACCATTTGATCAATAAATATGAAAGATGCCCTCTCAAAAAAAAAAAGCATGGGTTTTGAAATCAAAATGACATAATGTAGAGCTCTGGCTACATTATTGACTGACTAGCAGTGTGACCTTGGGCAAATTACTAAAGTCTCAGAGACTAGAGCTTATGCTTCCTCATCTCTGTTTGGCTTAATAGGGCACAAGGCTGTTTGTCAAAAGTAAGTGAAGTTTTATAAATAATCTAGGAGCACCTGGCACATACATGCTCCACTACTGGTAGTTATCATTCATTCATTCAAGAAAAACATATTGAGCTGTGTAACATCTCTTAGGAACATAGCATTAAGCAAATTCACTTGGTCTCTGGAGTTTATGGTTTAATTAACTATTACATAACTAAGAGGACACTATTTGTGTTCTCCAAGTTGTGATATGAGGCTTTCATTCAGTTATGTGGGGGAAAAAACAGGAAAACTTTAACAAAAAATGTTACTAGAAAAGGAGTGTAGAAACTTCCAGGACAGCACAGTATCAGTATGGTATATCCTTCTAAGGAGGAATGATAATGTCAATAATCAGCAAATCCTGGGATCTTTATTGATTACGTATTGGTAGTAGAGGTAAGTTCTGAATTTACAAACTGACCATTTTATGAAGTTCCTCCAAATGATAAGATACTAAAGTGAAGCCAAGTTTGAGAACTGTATCCTAAACCCTTTGCCTCTGTCTGGTAAAACAGCCTGAATTAACCCAACTATTCACTTTCTCAATATCTCTGCATAACTGCACACTGCAAAAGACTGTTAAACAATAGCATAGACTGATTCCACGAAAATCTCATGATCACCAAAATCAAATGAAACCATATTACAGCCAGGCAATCTTACATTTCTCTCTTTAATTTTCTCACCCACTCCAACGAAGTTTTTCAAACTTCTGTCTCCCTCACTTTACTATCTCTCCTTCACACTCCAAAGATCAAGATGACATTACCTCCTTCCTCCTATACTGAAGCCCTAAGTGGAAATGTTTTCCTGCTTGCAAATATGCAAACTGCCTATATTCAATTTGTCCTATTTACCCAGCAATTTATTGAGTACCCACAATGTGCTGGAAATAAGTCAATGAACAATACAAGCATAAATCTCTACCTTCTTAGAGTTATGCTTAATGGAAACAACAGGCATAAATAAAAGACAGTAATTTAGAAAGTAGTAAATACTGTGGAGAGGAGTGGAGGATGATAGGAAGTACTGGATTAAGGAGTAATATTTTAAAGAGTGGTCATTGAGCAGGTCACATTTGACCAAAGACTGAAGGTGATTGGGGACTAAGCTATATGGATATCTGGTGAGGAATGTTCTGGCAAGGGGAACAGCAAGAGCAAGTGTGCTGAGGCAGAAATATTCCTAGTGGGTTCAAGAACAAAAACGAAATCTGCATGGGTGAAATGAAGTGACTAAGGGGGAATGTATTAGGAAATGAGACCAAATAAGTTAAAGGAGGAGGTAAAGGATCAGATCACAAAGGAGCTAATAGGCCATTGTAAGTTGGCTTTTATTCTGAGTGAGATGCGAAACCATTGGAGAGTTATGAGCAGAGAAGTGGCACTGGCTATTCTGTTGGGAACAGTCTCAATGGCAAGAAAGGTAGCCGGGAAACTAGGTAGGATGCTACTGTGTTGTCCTAAGGTCACTTTCAAAACAAGAATTATGCCTCTTCTCAGGGCCATTTTCTTTGCATATGCTTTCTTTCCACCATTTCCATTACTTTACACTATCTACTATTTCTTCCTTTGTATACTGGATCCTTTGTATACTGAAACTCTCCCTTTCATCTGGGTCCTTTACATTGGTTTTTAAGCATGTTGGAATTTTAGGTGAAAAAAAAAACCTTCCTTGACCTGTTTACTGCTCTGCCACAGTTCCTCACTTGAGCCAAACTTCCAGTAAGACTTCTCTTTGGCACCTCATGTGTTTGATTCTTCTGAATTCATATTTCAGGTTACTGTAATTAGACATCTGCCTGCATGGCATAACCAAAATAGATTTTCCTAATGCAGTGGTTCTGTAAAAGATAACGCTAATTCTCCAAGCGGAATCTGGAAATGTGTGGCAGTATTGTTTTTGCTTGTTTATTTTTGGTTACGATTGAGAGTAAAAGGTGCTATTTCTGTTTAGTTGTCTTGGGTCAGGGATGCCTAACATACCACAATGTGTAGGATAACCTCACATTTAAGAGCTACTGTTCAAAAAACCAGTATCACCCAGTGAAAAATAGTGTTAACAGTCACAAAAGACTCCTATGTACCTATGTCCACTGAACATTTTTCAGTCTTTTTCCTACTTGATCTTAGAATATTTGACAATGATAACTACTCTCTTTGCATAACCCTTCTATCTTGGCTTCTGTAACATATCACATTCCTTGTTTTCTTCCTGCCTTTCTGATAGCCCCTTTCATTTTTGCAGACTCATCCTCCTCTACTCCACTACCAAATGTTGAGGTTCTTCAAGAATCAGTCCCTTGGAAATGACATCAGCAAAAATGTCAAGTAGGAAACTCCCAAGGACCTGTCCCTCCACATAAACAGCAAATAAATCTTCAAAATTATTAGAATCAAGTTTATGTTTTCTCTGGAAACTAGTCAAAGGTTTAGTAACCATGCAAGCATTTAAGCAAGAAAAAGGTGGTTGAATCTCACTAGGAGAGCTTTGTGTCATTTAAACTTATCCATTTGCTTGTCCCCAGTTCGTGACAGTTTTGAAGACAACAACCTGTATTTCTAGTATAAGTTACTGGTGCTAGAGGGAGCAGAATGGATCTTCTCAAAGAATTATGGTAGTTTATTTGGAACTGTCTGGTAGCTCCCTGAAAGACTGGCACAAAGAACTTTCCCTTATTTTGCCAACTCAGAACTCTCCCATATCAGGTGACTGCTCAGGGGACATTTGTCAAAAACACACAAAGGTGGTTTATCAGCTACTGCCACCTGGTGAAAGGAATAATAATTGGGGCAAACAATAGAGGCACCAAAAAGCCTGGGAGGGAAGGCTGTGTGATATGCTTTGGAGCATAAATTGTTTGAATAAGGCTCCCACATATTCCTGGGAATCTAAAAAGCTACATGCACATCCATGGGTGGGCCAAATGCTCAGAAAAAGACCCTAAACTCTCACTTTTGGTTAACTCAGGGTCTGCACAAATAGGAAATGAAGCCTAAAATGGATTTGTAAATTGCCACCTGACTGTTAAAACCATGCCCCAACACAAACACAGAGCTCACTAGAAAAAAACTGGAAGTTTTTTTTCATTTTTTTCATTCTAGACATTTAAGAAAATATCTCTTGAATCACTAACTGACCATTAAGCAAACAGAACAGAAACTATAGTGGCCACACGCAACAAGGGATACAAACTGTACAAACTTAGTTCAGAAAAGTCATTGAAATAAACAGCAACCACAACCCTCAACAACAAAAAACTAGAATGGAAAGAGAATCTGATTCTCAGACTTACAACATTATAATAATCAATATGTCTAGTCTTCAACAAAATACTACATGGCAGGCAAAAAAGATACTATTGCCCATATACAGGAAAAAAAAACTTCCCTGGAAGGACAAATGCTGGACTTACTACACAAAGACTTCCCATTGAGTATAGTGGAAGAACTAAAGCAAATCAGGAGAGCCTTATCTCACCAGAGAATATTAATATGGAGATTGAATGTGTAAAAAGAACCAAGTAGAAATTTTGGAGTTAAAAAGTACAAAGCAGACAAAATTCACTAGAGGGATTCAACAGCAGATGTGAGCAGTCAGAAGAAAGAATCAGCAGACTTCAAGATACATCAACTGAGATGGCTCAGTCTGAGGAGTAGAAAGGAAAAAGAATGAAAAATGAACAGCACCTAAGAGGCCTATGGAACAATATTGAGAATACCAATATGTGCTTAATGGGGGTCCCAGAGAGAATGGAACAGAAAAAATATTTGAAGAAATAATGGTCAAGAACTTTGACCATTACTTATGAGAGAGATGAATCTAGATGCCCAAGAAGCTCAAGGTAAGGTAAAGATGAAGAGACACACCAAGACAGGTTGTAATCTAAATGGTCAAAAGTCAATGGCAAAGAGAATCCTGAAAGCAGTAAGAGAGAAGCAAGTATTCACACACAAGGGAGCCTCAATAAGAATAACAGTTGATTTCTCACCAGAAACTATGGAAGCTAAGGGGTAGTACAGTGATATATTCAAAGTACTGAAAGAAAAATGTCAGCTAAATATTCTATATCCAGCAAAACTATGAAGGAAAAATTAAGATGAGAAGATAACAACTGAAGAGAGTTTGTCACTAGTAGACCCATCCTGCAAGAAATACTAAAGGAATTCCTTAAGCCTGAAATGAAAGGACAGTAATTTGAATCCACAGAGAGAAATAAAAAAGTTAAGTAGCTATGTAAGTAAATATAAAAGTTCATGTTAATGCATTTTTGTTGGTAACTTTTTTTTTCCTGCATGATTTAAAACAACTACAAGAACAGTAATTAAGTCTGTCATGGGGCACACCATGTATAAAAATGTAATTTGTGATAACATGAGAGGATGAAGCATAGGAGCAAAGTTTTTTATTCTATTGAAACTAAGTTTTTTATCTGAACTAGATTGTTACAAGTTGTTAATTATAATCTCTAGGACAACTATTGAGAAAATAACTAAAAATTACCTATAAAACAAATGAGAAAAGATATAAAAGGTACTCTTGAGAATATCTAGCACAAAAGGCTGTACATGAGAAATTGAGCAACAAGAAATACATATACCGTGTGTGGAAGAGCAAATGGCAAAATAAGTCCTTGTCATTAACATTAAGTATAAATGCATTAAACTCCAATTAACAGGCAGGGGCAGAATGGAATTTTTTAAATGTTCTATTTCATGTGTTCAAGAGACTCCAGAGCCAGACACAAATGGGTTGAAAACAAAAGTGTGGGAAAGATATTCCAAGATATCTCAAGTACATGTGCAGTAGTCTCTGTTGTAGAATATATGTTCTAAATAAACCAGTCTCAATGAATTTTTTAAAGACTGAAACCATACCAGTTATCTTCTCTGACTTCAGTGAAATAAACTAGATATAGCACACCCTTATACCACCAGTTGGTCAAAGATGAAATGACGAGAATTTTTAAAAATACTTTAAGATGAATAAAAAATAAAATAGAAACATGGGATGCAGTAAAAACAGTGCTCAAAGGGAAATTTGTTAGCTGTAAGTGCCTACATTTAAAATGATCTAGAATCAGTAACCTTGCCTTCAACTTGGGGAAGGAGAAAAAGAGAAAACAGCCCAAAGCTAGCAGAAGGAAGGAAATAACAAAAATTAGAGCAGAGATAAATGAAATAGACAATAGAAAACAAACTCGAACCAAAAGTTTGCTCCTTGAAAAGATCAATAAAATTAACCTATAAATATAATGACCAAGAAAAAATATTTAAATTAGTAAAATCAGGAATAAAGGGAGACAGTACTACACCTACTATTTCCTATCTTATAGAAATAAAAATAATTGTAAGAGAATACTACTAATGATTGTATGCCAACAAATAAGATGATCTGAGTCAAATGAACAAATTCCATGAAACAAACTACCATAAAGAAAACAGATGGACCTATATAACAGTACAACTAAAGAGGTTAACTCAGTTATCAAAAAACTTCCAACAAGAAAAGCTCAGAACCAAAAGGCTTCACTGGTGACATCTATCAAACATTTAAATGTTAAGTCCTTCTCAAACTTAAACAAAAAATACATGAAGAAGGAACACTTCCTCAGTCATTCTGTGAGGTGAGCGTTATTTTGATAACAAAGCCAGGCACATCACAAGAAGATAATATTACAGGCCAATATCCCTAATAAATACAGCTTTAAAGATCCTCAACATAAGAGAATCCAGCAGTTTAATTAGAAAAATTACATACCATAAGAAATGAGGATCCAAAGGAATACTATTAGAGCCAAAAAGCACATCTAACAAACCACAAGATACAGGACCAACACACAAGAATCAGTTGTCTTTCTATAATATTGGAACAACATTTCAAAAATGAAATAAACACAAGTCCATTGACAGTGTCAAAAAGAATAAAATGAAATGCAAATGCATAAGTTTAAATAAGGTATAAGACTTACACACTGAAAACTATGAAACTGTTGAAAGTCAAGAAGACCTAATAGACATTCTATGTTCATGTATTGGAAGACATAATATTGAAAAGGCAGTACTCCCTAAGTGAATCTACACATTCATTGCAATGCCTTTTTTCATAGAAATTGACAAATTGATCCTAAAAGTCAGGCACATCACAAGAAGATAATATTAGAGGCCAATATCCCTGTGGAATTGTACAATATACAATGTGCCAATATACAATGTGGAATTGTAAAGGACTTGAAAACAAAAAAAAGAACAAGGACTCATATGTCCTGATTTCAAAGCTAATTATAGAGCTACAGTGATCAAAACAGTGTGGAACTGGCAGAAGTTTAGATAAGTAAGTAAATGTAATAGAATTAAGAGCACAGAAATAAACCCATATTTATATGGTCAATTGATTTTTGACAAAGATGTCAAGACAGCTCAGTGGGGAAAAAATAGCATTTTCAGTAAATGCTAAGAAAACCGGATATCTACATGGCAAAGGAATGAATTTCGACTATTACCTCACTCCATATAACATTTAACTCAAAATGAATCAGACTTAAATGTAACAACAAAACTATACAAATCTGAAAAAAATTATTGGGGTAGGACTACATGACTGGGTTTAGCAATAGAATCTTAGATGAGATATCACAAGTAACAAAATGAAAACAGGTAAATTCTGGACTTAATTTAAAACCTTTGTACATCAAATAATATTATCAAGGAAAAAGGGCCCACTGAATCTGAAAAAAATACTTGCAAATCATCTGTTAAGGTTCTCTTGTCTAGAATAAATCTTATAAGTCATCAATAAAAAAGCAATTTAAAAATAGATAACGACTTAGACATTTTTCAAAGAAGATATTCCAATGGCTAGCAAACACTAAAAGATCCTCAACATCTTAAGTCATTAAGGAAATGCAAATCAAAACTACATGAGTAGTCCTCATGTAATTGTAGATTAATGGTACCAAAATAAAAATTTAAATTAAAAAAATTTTAGAAATTACATGAGACAGCACTTCATACCCACTAGGATGATTATAATTTAAAAACAAGTGTTGGTAAGGATGTGGAAAAATTAGAACCCTCGTAAAATGCTAGTGGGAATGTAAAATAGTGCAGCCATTGTGGAAAACAGTTTGAGAGTTCCTCAAGAACTTATTTTGAACTACTGTATGAACCAGCAGTGCTACTCCTAAATACATATTTAAGAACTGAAAATGGGTATTCAAACAAAGTTTCAAGTGAATGTTTATAGCTAAACAATAACCAAAAAGTAGAAACAAATGTCTATCAATAGATGGATAAACAAATTGTGGTATACCTATACATTATTCAGCTGTAAATAGGAATAAAATAGTGATGGATGATACAACATGGATCAACCTTGAAGAACATT